GAAATAATTTATTAATTGTGATCTCCCATGTATATTTCAAATGGATTTCCTTCCTATGGACTGGTAGATTCTTATAGAATATGAAGAAAATGTTAGACAGGGGCAAGGATGCCACAACAACAAGAAACAGGGTTGGGGAGATGACTTAGTCAGTAAAGTGACTGTCATGCAAACATGAGAAACTGAGTTCAGAGTTCCAGTACCAACATAAAAGTCCAGGCTTAGCAGGACTTAGTGGACACCCAGCCCACTCAAGCAGTGAGTTCCAGGTTCTGTGAGAGACCCTGTATCACAAAGTAAGGCAGAGATTTGATTGAGAGTGGTACCTGATGTCAACCCCTGGCTTCTGCACATGTGTGGGCACACTCCCATTATGTGTGGATTTGTACACACAGAGAGAAGGGAAGGGGGATGGGGACAGAGAGGGAGAGAGAGAGAGGGAGTAGGAGAGGGAGGGAGGGAGGGAGGGAGAGAGAGAGAGAGAGAGAGAGAGAGAGAGAGAGAGAGAGAGAGAGAAAGAAAGTGAGGGGGGGGCACAGAGGCAGAGACAGAGAGGCAGAGAGACAGGAACACAGAGTGTGAGATCGAGTGCACAGAGAAGTAATGGAAAGATTCTGGCATTGACACTGTAAATTCTGGGGTGGTAGAGCCTACATCAGAAATCCATAGAGCAGAGAGAACAAAGCAGGCTCAGAGTGTCAGCATGCCACCCTTTTTATGAGCCTTTGTAACCCAGACACTCAGATCCCCTGTGCTATCACCAAGGTTATCAGTGTGAAGCTTTCAGGTAAGATCAGGGGGTCATCAGGCTTTGCTGCCTAGTGCCTATGTTGTGCAAGCTGCTTTCTTTTCAATCTGCCCATCCCAGTTTTCTGCATTTTATATCATAAAAACAATGTGACTTTTAAGTGTCTGTTCCAAATATATGATGAGGTAACCCTGCTGAAGTAGTGGGTTAGCCCCTCATTTGCCCAGTGTTTGTCCTCTGGGCTCATACAGATCATGATAGCACAGTGCTGCTGTGGGGGTGTGACCCTTTGAGATAGAAGGGAACTAGACCTTGGGACCTCCCACCTCAGCGGCAGAGCAGGGGACCGTGGGCAGCTCTAACTTCAAAGGAAGTAAATGGCATGAATTATTTCCTACACTCTTGAATTCACAGAACAAAGCTCAGTCTCAGTAGGAACATCATTCTGAATGTGTGGATTTAAGCCACAAGTCGCACTGCCCCGCTGAGGTATCCATCTGAACAGTGAGTCCCACACATTTTAAAGTGGCTAGAGAGATCTCTTGAAAATCATTTCAGATTCTGTCTTATTTAAAGAAAAGTCTCTGGCCTATGCCTACAATCTTATCATAATATTGTACAATAAATAGGTTCATGAATGTATAAGCCGAATCAGTCTCTCCTTGAGGTTTTAGTCTCTTACTTTTCTATAATCCATTAAGTAAAAGACCACGTACCTAGCTTTGGTCTCTTTTAATCAAGGCACATTCTTCCTGCTCAATCCCTTCTCCACCTTTCAGCCTATCAGACACTAACAGGAGAGGACTCTCTGAACTCACTGCCCTGTGCCTTATGCCCTGATATCTCCTTCCTCACCACCTTGTCCTCCAAGGTCTCTATACCCTGTCACCCAAAGTTGAATCTCTTAGGCATTTCTGGGACTTTTGATACTGCCAGGGCACCAAGGATTAGAAAGACCTTCCAGATCACTACAACAAGCTCCTACCTACAATGATCTTAAACTTTTCAAAGAAGTGGAGGTTGAAGGAAGAGGGACAGATGGTCATTGGTACCTGGAGACAGCTAGAGAGAGTAGTCTTGTCAAGAAGTACCATGGACCTTATGCTCAGGAGAAGCTATGGTGAAATCAGCTATCTAGGGGAGGTGTCCTGACAGAATGTAGGCTCTGAGAAAAGCTTACGTGCTACTCAGAAGGCTACATATCAGAGACAAAGGAGATTCTAGACAGAACATGGGATGGGTAGGATTATCTGACACCAAAGCCCTTTTCTGGAGTTGGGGGCTAAAATACACACTTCTCTTTTAAAAAGTAGATATTCTATTTTTATAAATAGCATACCAAATATGAATGATAACACACATTTTATCAAAAATTGAAATAAAGTCATTAGTTAATCTTTTTACTTCTGGGAAAGGGTAGGTTTATTGGGGATCAGGTTTGAGGGTTCAGTCAATCATGACTAGAAATCATGGTAGTAGTTACATGTAGCCACATGGCATCCCCAGTCAGGAAACAGAGAGCCATGAGTGCCTGTGCTCACTCCATTTTCTTCTTTTTATTCAGTCTGAGCACCCTGCCCATGGAGGGTGCCATTCACACTTAGGATGGGTTTTCTTGCTTCAATTAACCCAATCAAGAAACTTCCCATCAGATATACCCAGAGTTTATTTCCTTAGTAAATCTAGAGACCCATCAAGTTGATAATTAATTAACCATCACACTCACTTTAATTAAAAATGTGTCAAATTAAATAATAAAGAAGCAATAGCAAGAGTAATATTAATTGAAAATTGCAGAAATAGACTTTTCCAGACCTACAGAGCCAGGTCCCCTGTTTATGGGTGAAGCAGTAGATATCACAAAACTAGACACTGGCCAAGGAGTAGAAACTAAATACTGGTTGACATTTGCAAGGAGGATCAAAGTAGACAGCATCTGATCTGAAACAATAGTTGAAAATGGACAAAGGGATGGAGAGAAATGATAGGAGAACAATGAGGATGTGAAGAATATCTGGTGGAAATTGGGCTAAGAAAATAGTAAATCAGGCAATAGGATGAAGTAGGGGGAGGAGTAAAAAGAAGGAATAGCATATTAACATTACCCAGCATATTAACAATACCCTATGCCTCTGAAGAGAAAGAGAAACACTGAACCCCCGCCCCAGCATGCACATCTCAACATTCCAGTGTGTTTCACACTGCTTTTTTGTTAGAGCTCCTGGTTGGAACTCTGTCTCTGCAAAACTGTTCCTTCACTCAAGTCACACTGGCGGTGACTAGGTGTCCTCATTCCATGCTGAGTGAGTATGGGAATAACAGGAGTGAGCCTGGAGCTTTGAGAACAGAGATCATGAATCCTCCAACTTAAACCCCAAGCCTTTCCTTTGCAAGATTTTATGTTGACAGAGGTCCAAGTTTAATAAGCATTAGGGGTCCAGGGAGGGATCAGAATTAGGCTGGCCATCCTCAGTCACTAGGAGGACTCAAAAGTACATTGGGAGATTAAGAGGCTGAGATGCAAGAGGATACTTAGCATCCAGTCCACACCACAGCATGTCCTCCTTTCCACAGCCCAAGAGAAAGAGACTTTACCACCTCCATGTTCTTCAGAGAAGGAAACTTTTCCCTCAGAAAAAAAAATAAATGTTGAAGTAATTTATTTCCAAATCTTCCCTGATACCGAGTCTTGTGCCTACATGATCTGCAAACAGAGTTCAAGACCTAAGCACTGGACAACAGATTAATTTACAATGCTAGGGTTCAGAAAGAGAAAGGGAGGGGAGAGGATGTGAAGGTAATAATGAAATAATATGGGAGTGGTGCTGAAGAGATGGCCCTACAGTTAAGAACATTTACTGTTCAATCCAGAGGATCAGAGTCTAGACCTTGGAAAACACATAACAAGCCCAGGAGTTAGATAGAATTCTGACCTCCTTCTCTGCCCAAGACATAGCCACTCAGACAAACAGACAGACAGATGGATGGATGGACAGATGGACAGAAAGAAAGAAAGAAAGAAAGAAAGAAAGAAAGAAAGAAAGAAAGAAAGAGAGAAAGAGAGAGAGAGAGAGAGAGAAGGGAGGGAGGGAGGGAGGGAGGGAGGGAGGGAGGGAGGGAGGGAGGGAGAGAGAAGGTGAGAGAGAGAGGAAGAAAGGAAGGAAGGTGGGAGGAGGAAAAATAAGATAAAGAAAAAGAGACATGTCTAAAGAGTAGAGTAAATCACTAGCCAGTAATATCTGTACATGAGATATTCAAATGAACAACGGAAACTAGGAAGAAAGGTAAGAAGAGAAAGGAAAGAGAGAGAGAGGAGAGAGGTGTAGAGGGAAAGGAAGAGGGGATGAGAGGGAATTAAAACACATTTGTGCAAGAATACCTCCATGCTCTTGGATTTTGGAAGAGGAAAGGTAACTGCAGTTAAAAAGAAGGAAAGTCAGATGACATTTAAAAATATATATATACAGATCCATAGATCAGGTCCCTAAATGTCTTCAAATAGTCAGCCACTTTGTATCTGCCATGGAATCCAGAGACTTATTTCTCTTCCATCTCAAGTGACACACATGAAATAGTCCTATGGGCAACTGTTTCCTTTCACAGTCATTCTCAATCTGTATGTTGCTCTACTGAGGCGAGACCTGAGTTAAGCATTTAAAGGATGTATGTACCACATGTATCTGTCCTGTGTGTACCCACAGACTCACTGGACGAGATTATTTAAAATACCACTGAAGTCCTCAGTATGAACAATGCAATTGTGAAGTGCCTCTTTTGCTGTGTGAGCAGAAAGGGCTAAACTTGCTGTGTTAGTCTGGGTTGTCCTTGAAAGGTTATATTATCCCCCTAAGCCATTGACATCAAAACTAAGTCCTCAGGTGAGCCAGAAAATTCCAACCGTGAGATAAGAGAAATTCATAATACTGAAACTATTGGGGGTGCAGAGTGGAAAGTGAGAAGCCATGAAATTATCTTTTTATTTTCTTAAAAACAAATATCAATGTATCCCAAATGCAGACCACACAGTTTGAGCTCCACGTTCACCTTCCTTATAACTGTCAATGCAAGAATTTTCAAGTCCAGGACTGGACCATGCCTTGTCCTCCTTTTGGTTTGTCCAATTGCTCTCAATACTGAACTAAGAGAAGCAAACTTGTAAATGAATTGCTCCAGGGTTGCTATCTGATTTGTGCACTTTCTTTTGTTTATTTCGTTTTTGCATTGAAAACATCACATCTCTGTTTCCTTATAGAGTAGTGTATCAAGAGCCAGTGTATGGCAATAAATTGCTACAGGTATGAATTCCTGACTGATGGAAAGCACTCTTCACTGTGGTTGTGGGTTTGCTCTGAAATCCTGACTAACAAGATGATTCTCGGGAGGGCAAATGTTTGCTAACATAAAGCAGTGGAGCCTTGACTGAATTTTCCAGTTTTAATGCAGATTTATCCTGTTACTTCTGATATGTCCGCAATGGGGATGGGACACTTCCTTCCAGATATCAACATTGTATGTATAGATTTGGATGGATCATGAATTTACCATGTTAGAGGTCTAATGTGGTTTTCAATTTCTTGAATTATAAAACTTAAAAACCGTTTTTAAAAAAATGTCCAGGAAGACAGCTCAACAGGTAAAAATGTTAACCGCTAAGACCTGACGACCTACTTGAGTATGAGTCACAGAAACACAAATAGACGGAGAGCCCTGACTCCTGAGAGTTGTCCACTGACCTCTATATGTACACACCTGTATATGTGCTCACCACATATGTACACACCACAGAGCACACCACACACACACACACACACACACACACACACACTATTACATGCACATACATACTCCCCACAGCACACCTACTACAACACACACACTATACCATAGCACATCATCCACATATACACACACCACAGCCACATCCACTACGTGCATACTGTGGTATGTGTGCATAACAGCCATAAAAAATACACACCATACCACATGCACACACTCATACATTCACTACATATACAAACACAAGCAAATACACATGCGAATAATAAAAAAATGATGATAATAATAATAAGTCCTGACTTAAAATGTATCTAAATCCATCAGAAGAAAGAATTTTCAAATTAAGGAGATGGTTCAGCATGTAAAGCACTTGCTGTGTAAATATGAGGACCAAAGTTTGAATCTTCCAGAAACCAGATAAAGCCAGATATAGCACCAGTTGTCTGCTTCATCACTGCTGTGGAGAGATAAGGCAAAGACATGGGGATTCCAAGAAGCCAATAGAGCAGCAAGCCTAGTGTACATAGTACTCAGCAATAAGGTGCAAAGCCAGGGCCAACACCCAAGGTAACATTCATACCCACACCGTGGCATGTGCATATACATACGCTCACACAGGCCATAAGGTGGAAGATTTTAGGGTTTGTTAGAATAGATTTTCCCCACAATCATTGGTAGGTTCTTTGAATACTCTAGAATCATTAAATCAAAAACTGTATATGCCTCTAGCCTTGAGGAATTCCATAGCTAGTATCACCTATACCTGCTTTCACTGGAGGTACTCAGACATTTTCGTTCCACTTGCTAACCCCACCTCAAACCAGTAAATCTGTAGGAAGATTTTTTAAAAAAGGAAGAAAAAGAAAACAAAAAGGTCAACACATTCATCCACCACTGGCAAAGATTCTTCAAATGTGGTCTACAGCACCATTAAACATGCCATAGAGAGTGAAAGATGGTAGCCAAGATGGCTTCATGCTACAGGCTTGTCATCTCAGCACTTAAGAGTCAGAGGCAAGAGGATTGCAATGCTGGTTACAGAGTAAGCCCATACTAGCATGGGCCAGTTAAGGAGAAACTTTCAAACCTGAAGTCAGAAGACGGCTTGGATTTGTAAGTCTGTAATAGAGCACTTGCCTAATATTCATAAAGCCCTGGGTTCATTCTCCAGTAAAGTGTGTGTATATGCACGTACACACACACACACACACACACACACACACACACACACATACATATTATGAGTAGAATAGATAAAACTGTACTGTACTTTTCCCCCTTTGGTTTTAAGAAGGAAAAAAAAATCTCCTCTTCCATGACATTATTTTTGTCACTGGATCTGGAGTCACCAGACATACCAAGACCTAGGTTTGCTGACCTCAAACAGAAGCAGACCTCATTTTTCAGACATCAGCAAAACCTATGTAGAAGCTCTGGCTCTGCAAGCTGCCGAGCACAGAACAATGCAGCCCATCTGAGTCACCTTTTAGAAAAGCAAATTAAAGCAATTTGTATCTGTGGGCCATTTTACAGGGTGTGCGTATACACTGAGTTAACACACAGCCCCACCATTGCTGAAATATGGATTTCATGCAGAAGAAAACTAGGAAAGACTGTGGGTAGTATAGAGAGGTGGCATGATCAAGTCACCAAATACTTCTCACCCCAATATCACATAGAGCAGGGACCAATACTATAGCCACCAGCCCAGTAGATGCTTGCTTTTAAATACAATTTCTTTTAAATTTCTTTTAAATACAAAGGAGAGTACCCCTTTGGTAAAGTGCTTGCTTTGCAAGTCAGAACTAAAGTCAGAACTGAGGGGTTTTGCATTTCTTTTGTTTATTTGTTTGATTTTTAAATCCAAGCATGAAGGCATCTCTTTCTAATCACAGAGCTAGAAAGTCAGAAAGTTTGGTTGGCACATTCTAGACTAATGAGAGACCCACCACAATTCTTAAAATAAAAGAAACAGAGATAGAGAGGAGGGGAGTGGAGGGGGGAGGGGAGAGGAGGGGAGAGGAGGGGTGAGGAGGGGAGGGGAGGGGAGGGGAGGGGAGGAGAGAGAGAGAGAGAGAGAGAGAGAGAGAGAGAGAGAGAGAGGAGACAGTGTCTGAGGATGTTGTCCTGTGGCTGCAAACACATGTGCTCTCATGTGCACACACAGCTGCACATACATAAACATGCATACAACACGCAGTGATTTATTTACTTAACTAGTCAGATTGTTGTAACTGTAATCCCAGTGTTTGGGAGGTAGAGTCAGGAGGATAACAAGTTCAAAACTTGCTTGGCCTTCAGAATCAGCTCAAGGTCAACTTTATATTTATATAACACCGTCTCACAATAGAAAGTAAGCAAGTTTTCTTCTTTTTTTCTTTTTCTTTTTGTCTTTATGACAGACTTGGGAAATAGCTTAAAAGTGTAGCATTTCTTCAGCATTTACTAGATCCTAGTAACACAATATAAACAAGGTAAAAGCAAATCAAATTAATGAAAGATAAGTAAACTGAAACTTCAACTAAATGTAGTCCCCACATTCCAAGCGATAAGAAAACACTTAAGATGGTTAGCCATATATATTCATATATTCACATAAATACACATGGATAAAAAATAAAACCTAAACTTGACTGAGAATGTAGCCAGCTTGATCCAGCGCTTGCCTTGGCACACATGAACCAGGCATGCTCGAAAGCAGATGTAATTTCAGGGTCTCAAAGAAAGGAGACTGGGTTATTGGAAACTCCAGTTAATTCTTAATTCCATAACAAGTTTGAAGCTAACCTGTGCTACATTTGATCCTGTCTCAAAAACAAAGCAAAACAAATGAGAATACTTAAAAGCAAATATCCCAAGTAAGAGAAACAAGCTCAGGGTATTTACCATGTACGCCTGCTTGGCATAGACTGATTTCCTCTCAATGGTGAAGCCATAAGAAAATATAGGAGAGAAAGATCATTGCCAAACTTTTGACTTTCAGTAGGAGAAAGGAAAGGGAAGGAAGAAATATATTATAATCAAATTATAATCTCAAAATTAAAGTTAACAAAAGAAGAAATGTTTTATAAAAGTACAATGCAGGCATTCATAGCTACGTCTGCATTCCCATGATAAGTATCAAGCTTTTAGGCCGTGAAACCCATATTAATTACCTCCGTTAGACATGTTTTCTACCCAATCTCATGGCAGATTCTTCTGCAAACGTTGAGAGACAGATATATAATCTGAGCCAAACCATTTAGAATTTACTTAGAAGCTAGTATACATTTAGGGTTTTTTCCACCTCTGGATAGACAGAAAGATAGACAGACAGACAGACACAGACACACACACACACACACACACACACACACACACACACACTTCATCCAATTGCAGCTAACACCTCACAGCCATTGGCTGGTCAGTTCTAACCCCTTCCTACCTCATTAAATTTAATGCACATACCTGCATATTTATATCTTTCTGATATATCATGAAAGCCAAGAAAAATAGTGAAGCAGATTAAACGAACAACTCTAGAAACCAGTGCCCTGGTTTCTCCTTGGCCAGCCGTCCTCCTCTGGAGTTCATTGCCAGTCTGACACCTGCTTTGTTTTTATGACTTTTCAGCACATTTAATGAGCTCCCCATCCCTCATTAGAGAACACTGTGTTTGGAGCACCAGGTGGTGTCTGGCTAAGACCTTTTTTGTTTTAAATTACACATTTTTTTTTTCCTTAAGGAAAGCTGACACAAAAACTCCTGGCTCTGTATTATTGGTGATTATCCACCAAGATGTCTTAGGTGTATCTTTACTAAGGCTGATCCAAGGAACAAATTTCCCCATAGAAAAACTGGCTCTTTTGATACCTGACGGAGAATTTTAGTGAGTCACAGTGGTAGAAACTATTGAGAGCTGTTTCCTGTGTGTTTAAAGTTACTTTTGTACCCTTGCTTCATCCCTGTGTACGTGGCCACATGTATGTCGCTTGTCAACTTTGCCCTCCTGTCATTGGGCATTTTGCAGTTGTCAGCCCTCTGGCACAGCACTTTACCCTGAGCTAGCCCCTCACAGTGAGGGTGAGGACCCATCCCTTGGAGGATTGCAGTACTGTGAATTCTCATTAGATCCTGGAAAAGCCCCTGTTGCCTCTGGACACTGGGTCCAGTGTGTTAATTGTGCTGAGCTCATTCCAGGGTGGCTGACACGTTGCCCTGGTCTGTTGAGCAAGCTGTTCTTTTCTGGGTTTGATAATCAATGCTCCACTGCACACGATTCCTCCTCAATAAGCCCATTTGTGCTTCCTCTTTGCTTAATTGAACAATGGCAATTACTAGTACACAGAACTAAATGTTAATTATTTTCCTTTGCAGATTTTTTTCTCTTAATGATTTTATTTGCAAATTGGAAGGCTTTATCATATTCCCATTCCCTGAGCCAAATTCTACATCTGAATGTGTGTGAGAAGTGTGATATGTGTTACCTGTATCAGTGTGATATGTGTGACCTGTAGCTGTGTGATACATGTAACAAGCAGCAGTGTGATATTTTCAGCTGAGAAGACAGAATTTTTGACAATTGTTTACTTTTATAATAATTGTGGAATGTTAATAAAGCCTTCTACAAAACCATCCATGATTAAATGACCACACGCACACACAGAGACACACACACACACACACACACACACAATTACTAAGGAATTTGATGATCTGGTTTCTACACTCAATATGAGGCAGGAGAGTTCTTACTTTCTATCAAGAAATGATCAAAGATTATTTAATAAAATTTAGATTAATATTTGGTAAGTTATGGTAAAGCAAGGTCATTTCTTTTTTTTTTTCTAAATTTTTTTTAAGGTCATTTCTGAAAACCTGGAAAGTTCAGAAAAGTAGAAAGACTACATAATCCTCACCAGAGACCATCGCCATTAACACTTAGGCGCATTTCTTCCAAAGGGCTCGGGGCTCTGACTTCAGAAGATATGCTTAGGATTTCTAACCTTTAACACACAGCCAGGCCTGTTCTTCAACCTCCTCTCTCTTCAGTGTTTTTGACTTCTGCTCTGTTACTAAGCTTTCATTAACCTCAACCTTGGATGGGTGGACATGGGTACCTGCTGTGCTGGTGTGGGCTCCTGACCGCTGGGTGTCACTGAACTAGGCTCTGCAGTCCTAAGCCTCCTCTCTTCTTATATTGTAGGGTGGTTATGCTGCATACCGCTACGCCCAGCCCACCCCTGCCACTGCCGCTGCCTACAGTGACAGGTAAGGGTCTTCCTTCTCTAGATGACTTGAAGACAGCTGGTGGGGCAGGATTCTCATTTGGTCTTGCTTGAAATCAAATGCATGACTACTGAGGAGGAAACCCCTAAAAGTTAGGGTCTGTGGTGAAGTTCTACACAAGATACTTGAAGAGGAGATGGATGCTTAAGCCTTGCTCACTGTGAATTCCTCACCCTGTCTGATGCAAGGCTGAGAAAATCTGCTCTGTCCCTGGATAGCTGTTTTTCAGTTCTCCTTATTCCTATATCCATGTATCTTGTACATGTAAACACACACACACACACACAGACACACACACACACACACACACTACAGTACAACCATCTCATAGCCTTCTCTGTAAGAGCATAGTCTCATCTAGCGCATAGGAAGAAGACAAGATGCTAATAAGCCTAAAGGCTTCCTTCCTTTCCCACATGACCCTCAGGAAAACTTTCCCCTCTGCTCCATTGAATTCAAAATAAATGAATGGGCAGTACACCTGGCTTTCATAAGGAGATTCATTGATCTTGGCACTGCCCAGTTTGGGCAGTGCCCAAACTTACAAACATAAGCCAACTTTCATTTGCACTGCACACCTCGCATGAAGACTGGCAGCTGGAGGTACAGAAGTGTATTTGAGAAATGCAGAACTCTGGATGGGTGTGTGTGAATGCCTTGGTCCCCAGACTTTGGCAATGTGACGGTTTCTAAAACAGTTATAGCTATATCTATATAGGTGCCTGCAGGGCAGCAAACCAACCAAACAACCCAAAATGTGTGTGTTTCCATATTGAATGCAATTTTCTGGCTCTGTTCTCTGAGGACGTCAATGTGAATGTTCAGGTGCTCTGCATGCAAGAATGTCCTGGAGGGTGCTTATTTTCGTGATGACTATTTTAATTTGAGGATCTGTTTCATGAATAAAATAATAATAGTAACGATTTGCATGTGTGGCTGAGGCATGCTGGGTCAGACAGGTAAGCAAGCAGGCAAGGGGTGTGGCCCGTGAATGGGAACTGTCAGAAGACACTGGGCTCCCGCCTAGCTTGTGCCTATGCAGTACCTCCAGGTTTGCTGTGGTGTACTTTTCCTGCACCTCCATCCCATTTCTCCCAAGAAGGGTTGATAGCACATAGCAGCTGCAGAATTCTCCTGCAGTTTAATAAAGCAAAAGAAATCCCTGAATTTAAGATGCCATACTTAGCCGCATGCACAAACTCATCAAAAACGAGCTAAGATTTGCTGTCTGGCTACACACAGGAATTATCACTATTTTCTCATGAGCACGCATAACCCATTTTCCAAATTGTGGAGAATCTTCAAAGACATCCAAGCCACTGGCCAGACACACTTGTAAATACTTGAATTATCCATTTATCCAATCATCAGTTGGCAAGATGCAAGATGCTTCATGTAAATTGTTATCTTCAGTATTCTCTGACACGGGGTTAGGACAATTGAGAGGGTCAAAAAGGCTAATAAAAATGATGAGAATCTTGAAATACTTGAGATCATTCTACAAATGAAAAGGCTTAAATGTTATTAAATTCCAAGTACTGCAGATCCACACAGTCTCAATTTTAATGTGGCTCAGCTACAGCCCTTAATTATTTTATGAAAATATCTCTAGATGCTAAATTCTCAAACGCCCACTTTGTATGTAATTATAATCATAGTAACTTTAGCCTGCTGTATAATTATAAGAATCTTAAACAGATTTATTTCTCTGAGTGTTTATCTTGCCTCTCCTAAGAATAAGTGCATTTAGCCCCAAGTTGAAAGAAGGTTAATTACAAGGATAGACTTTAAATCGCCTTCTTCAATAGGACTAATTTAGACACTTGATAAACAAACAAACAAACAACATTTAATACTATTCTTAGAGTTACTGAGAAGGCTCACCATATCCCCTTGCATCCATCTGAAACTGTGAAAATGCTCTGCATTGTGGAACACCATATATCCAAATATCTGTATAAAATCTACAATTTTAAAATTATTGAGAGTTCTCATTGGTGATGTATTCTACTGAAAATATTACTCTCATTTTTGGATTGGTAAATCTTTAATAACTGCAACTCCCAGTTTAGTATAACAGTTGCAGATGAAGGAACCCACTAACTATATTCTTTTCCATGTAATTGGCCTCTTGCTGTTTATTAGCGATATTTGCACATTAGGTCCTCTTGGTTGCTGTGGAAATTGATTACTGGCTCTATTTAACTTTATTGTGAGCAGAATACTTGTCACCTATGGAATTATTCATTGAGGTAAATTCAGTAATAGGTGAATTACCAGAAAACAATCTCTAAAATGAGATTTCTGGTTTGATTTATCATTATTAAGCAGTAGTACCTTTTATTTTTAATCAATGCAGACAAGGAGGGGGCTTTATTAAAATACAGTCAGGGGGAAATGGGGAACTATCAAAATAGCTTTTCAATCTCTACTAAAGATGCAGAAGCTATCCAGGGCAATGATAAAGTCTTGCATTTTTATACTATCATATCACAGCATGTGTAGGAGCAGACCCTTACTTCCTCATCTCCGGAAGACAGACAGGAAGACAAAGAGATAAACTTCTAAACCAAACGAATCCCGTTCAAACTTGGAGGGAAATAAGACAAGTGGAGCATGTTTGAGAAATAGTCACTTGTTGTCAATTTAATCAAAAGCAATACAGCAACATCCCTTCGCTGTGACTGACCCTACAGTCTTCTCCAAAGTGGAGACAAGTCTCCATTGCCGCCCCACCCCTACTCTCACACACTGGTAGGATTTTGTCTTTACTCAACCCAAATTACACTCTTTATAAACTTAAAGTTCAGGAACCCTTTGAGAAGTAGTGAACAAAAGGGACCGCAGCGCTGCCTGGAGGTCTTTAATGGGAGCCTTGCGGCTCCCTGCCCATCATCTTCCTGATTGTGATTCCTGATCACATGTTGACATCTCAGAGCAGCCCAAAAGTTTCTGGGTATTGATCTTCTGAATGAAGACCATCTGCTGCAAGCCAAGCTTTTCCCAAGCCACAAAGATTGAACTGAACTTAGGTAGCAGCACAGCTTTCTGGATGAATTGAGTGGGGATAGGTGAACAGTATTCTTTGACATTTTACAAACATTTGGTGAACACTTGACCTGATCAGTTCTTTATTTGGTTAATGTCTTGCTTTGGTGTAATGGAAGCCAACTGTCCAGACTCTCAAGGAGATTGTTTTATGAGCTTGAACCAATTAGAGCATGGCGGTGGGGCCTGTGGTCATCTGGTCATTGCATGCCACTTGGTGTTGCTGATGTGTTTGTGGTATGTACGTGCTGGGTTGGACAGGTCCATCACATTAGCTCCATGAATGGCTTGCTTGGAATAAACCTAAGGTGCAGGTCTCTCTTTATTGATTGGCTCTTGGTTCCTTGTGTTTTATGGCTTGGTCCTTGTTGCATTTCTTGGCTGTCCAACTGGGCGGTGGGAAGAGGGGGAAGGTACCCTGTTCAATGAATTATACCACTCATAATGGGGGAATATCTGATGTGTATATAGCATTGACAAACCACTCTGCCTAGGAAGACATAGCCTGGTCATGCTTGTCCTGCTTGCTGATACTCTAACATTCCTTAAGGATTGGTGCATGAAAATGTCCCTCCACATTAGGGAAGAGAAAAGTTAGGCACAGAGTGGTTAGAAAAGAACTAAGAAAAAAAGTGCTTTACTGTCAAGTTTAACAATAAATATAGTTATACCAGGGAACATTTCTTCTATCAATTAAAACATGATTTTCTTTTCAAACAAATATAATATTTTTTGTAAGTAAGGAAATACATAATACTGAAACTTGAGTCATAACAATCTATAGCATAGGAAGGAAGATTTCTATCAAGTTCTGTGCTCATTGGAAATATATTATCTCTTAGTTGACACTTTTTAGGAAATCTGTTTATGTTAAAATTGATTTTTATCAGGTATTTTTTATCCTAAATATATTTTCTTACATTTTTATTATGAGGGTTTTTGAGTTTCATAATATAAAAAAATTTTTTTTAAAGTAAGCAAGAAAAATATGCTCTGGAACACAGATAGAATGGAATCTTCATAACTCTGTAAAGACATCTTCTGAGTAAGAATGCTCATTAAAAGTCAACTGAAACTATAAAGTATTTACTTAATCTAAAGATCTACAAATGACTCAGTGGTATTGACATTGGTTTGCAGAACTAGGCCACATAGACATCCTTAGACTAAGTAAAGATACTACAAGTGATAGGATTTTGCTTTCGATTTTGCTCATTGTCTGAGCCCTGAAAGTTTTGTTGTTTTTATATGATAAGAAAAGAAAGTATAATATTGGCAATTCCATATATCTCAACCTAAAACAAACCCAAGCAAAATCTTGTCATCTTACACCCTTCATAGCAACTTCTGAGAATTTGGAGAGAACTCTCAGAAGAAAGCCAGGACCTGAGGAGTTCAGGCAGTCATGGTGGGTGCTGAGCACCATTGAGATCAGGAACTCATCGGCTGGTCTTATGGAATAGAGGATCCACTTCAGAGAGATACAGATTAGTATTTTTCATAATTTTAATAGGCATTAGTTGGTATGTCTTGGTATCATGTTTAAAAGTCCATAGTTGATAGAGACAGAAATAGAAACATACGTAGATGGGGAGATGGACAGATGGATGTGAAGAGAAATGGATGGTCCTTAGATTAATGAGTAGAAGGAGAAGAAAACCAGAAGGAAGGAAAGAAGTCATCAGAGAGGGAAGCAAAGAGAAATGGAAAGGATAAGGGAGCAGAAGATGAGCTTTTCCTCTCTTATGTTTCACCACGAGCAAGTCTACAGAGGGCAGAACTACATTCTTAGTAAAACCTTAGCCTGATGACTGAAGCCACAGAGCTATCTGAGTCTATTTCCATTTGTGTAGCATAGCCCCTCAGCCTATCTTGGGAGTTATTTTCTGGATTCAGATTGAAGATTGCCAAATTTCTACCATGAAAATAGGCAA